GCTGTACGCTAGCCTCTCAACACTTAGCTTCATGTCTGCCATCCCCCTCCACACAGGTTGGCCTACAGGCTCCTCTTCTGTGTGGCCACGGAGCTCCAGAGTCATCTCTATCCCCAGGGCAAGAGTATTAACTAGCCTGTTGAATCCTCACAACTCATCGAGGCAAGCACCCCTAGGTCTATTTTATAGATGAGGACACTGAGGCTCAGAGAGGTGATGTAAATCAACTTTTTAAGGTCACACAGTTATTAAGTGAGAATGGCAGGAGGCAAACCCAGACAGCCAGAGCCCAGGTTCTTTTCATGACACCTCACTCTCCCCACTCCTAGCTTCATTGCTCTTTGGCAATACCCCTTCAAGAGCTTCTCCCCCATTTTCGTTGCAAAGGGAATAGTGGCAGGGATGTCAATCAGTAAGGACAGGCTCCTCCAAAAGGACAGCACTTAAAGGGCATTGCTCCTGACATCATACACACTGCTGAAGAAATGGGAGCTGTAGATAGGAAACCCTTTAACTCAGAGTCCCTCCCCACCAAATACTCAGGGACAAACTATGTTATAGAGTAAAAAGCTGGGCAGACCTACGTTCAGATCCTGACTGCCATTTGCCAGTTGTGTGAGCCTGGACATGTCCCTTTACCTCTCTGCACCTCTGTTTCTTATCTGTGCAAGGCTTGAGGAAATGCAGTTCCCTTTTTGGATTCCTGGGCTTCAGCAAAGGCCAGGGAGCTCCCCCCCCACCTCTCTGAACTCCTCCTTGTCAGGAGCAAAGCACACACGTGCACACACATGCACTAGCACACACACATGCACACGTGCATGCATGTGCACACGCACACACGCGCGCGTTCATGTGCACTGTCTGCAGAGCTATTCTGTAGGGGAAACTTGAGAGCATCCTCTGCAGCAGGGGGAATAAACCATGTTACACAAATAACCACAGTACAAAGCTGAAAGTGCTTGGGGCTGGGGAACAGAGGAAGTGTTGGGGGAGCTCAGGAGAGAGATTCCTTCTGCTTGGGGGTGGCTGAGCAGAATAAAAATAAACTCGCACTTAGAGCGCACCTTGCCTGTGTCAGGCATTTTCCACACATCACTTAATCTGCATGGCAAACATGAAGGAAGGAGAAGGATTCCTATTTAGCAGGTGAGGAAAAAGGCTCTGAGAGGGAAAGTGACTGCCAAAGACTTCAAGTGGAAAAACAGGGGTGCCAAGTCCAGAGCTACGCCAGCTCCCTCTTTACCTTGAGGATTTCCCGTGGGGAGAAAGCTGCTGAATGGGTGCCTTGTTGGGAGGAGTTGGTAGAGATGAGAAGTGAGAGGACCTTATGGGCCAAGGCACTAAAATGGGGAGAAGCAGGGCAGAACATTCCCTAGGTATTCCTGGCTGGCCTGTTCTGGGCAGAGGCACAGACCCTCCCCCAATGCTGCTCCTCATGAGAGGTCTCTCTTCCTCCTCACCTTCACTGGCACTGCCCCGAAGCCAAGCAGCCAGCAGGGGATGGGATCAGGATGCAGTTGCCATGGAAATGAATGGGGGCTGTTGCTATGGATACCATAAGATGAGGGCAAGAGGAAGCTAGGGATGCTGAGGACTATCCCCATGACAACTTGCAAGGGAAGAGGGCAGAGGGACTGGAAGCGAGAGACAGGGAAACAGGACATGGAGGTCAGCACACCCACATGGGGCCCGGGGCTTGGGCTCTGGAGAAAGACTGCACAAGGAGACTGGACCCAGTAGGGGGTGGGGGCAGAGGGGTGGAAGGACTCCAGTCACTTCCCTCTCCTCTGACAGCTCTTCTCTAAAATGTTTCTGCTGCCCAGTACCAGAACCACAGATACCAAACCTGAGGCCAGCCCAGCTTGGCATGGGGTTGTGGCTGGTGGGGGAGAAGGAAGCCACGTAAGGGGCAGACTGGGTGGACAGCACACAAACACAGGCTTGGGTGCACACAGACCTGGTCTGAATCCTGACTAGGTCCAAGGGGTCACACCGATGAGGAAACTAAGAGGCAGAGAGATGAAGCAGCTTGGCCAGAATCTCAAAGCTAAGCAGTATTAGAGCCAGAATTTAAATCAACACTCATGCTCTTACCTACCATTCTCACACCAAGCAGCCCTTCCAAGGTCGAGTCATTGCATTCTCCACCTCCCCATGCCTTCCCACAGTGGCATGCAGAGGGTCAGATGCTGAGAAAATATTTGTGGAATGTGTGTGTGAGGAAGCACTCAGAAGAAAACAGGAAAGGCTGAGGTTAGGTGCAAGAAGTGACTGACTTTGAGAGCAATGACTTGTGGGTTTGACTGGCCAAGGGTTGAATTGGAATGGGCTTTACGAACCTTCCAATCTCATAGACCCAAATTATGCCCAGAAAGTCAAAGTGACTTGTCCTGGGTCACGGAGGATGAGAACCCAGAACCCCTACTTCCCAGGCCAGTGTCTTCCTTTTAGCTTCAGAGGCCCTCTTGTATCTGTCCAGCTCCCACATCCAATCTTTAAGTCCCTAGATATCAGCTACAATAGGCTACTCACGCTGCACGGCCTATGATGAGCTGGTCCACATTGCCAGGCCTCTGCTCAGACTCCTCCTTGGTTTCTTCTGCCCCAGATGGCCTCCCTCAGCCCTTCACTAGACTTCAGCACTCTGATGAAATCATCTGCATCTCACAGTATCCTGAGCAGGCGAGCCCTCCTGGGAAGTCAGTTCTGACTTACTCCCACCCCCCACCCCCACCCCGAGAACCTGACAAGGGCAGATACACCCAGCTCCGTGTCTTGTGCACACCCATGTCATGGGCTGTCCTTATTACCCACTAACGCGTAATTCTCTCTTGAAGAGTCTGTCCCTCACCCTGCTCTTATTTCCCCGGCACAGTTCACCCCTGCCGCCCCTCCATGCCAAGGCCAGAACCCAGCACACAGCATGTGCTCAGCAACTGCCTTGGTCCCTGAGAACACAGGTAGCATACATACACTTGTATGACCATTCTCCCTAACAACTGTCCCCCTAAAAGTCACAGCCCCACATGCTCAAAAGGCACCTACACCCAGTCTTGTGATTATCTCCACCAGGCAAATGTAGTGAGCCTGCAGGCACAGAGGGGTACCACCTTACATAGTCAACCTCACACTTGAAATTCCTCACATAGTCACATTCCCTCAGATACTTAACAGAGCAGTCTCCCACTCCCACCATACCTGCCAGGCATCACATCAAGACATGCACATGTATGCATGAGCATATACATTCCATCCCAAGTGAGAGAGCCTCCCCACTGCCCACAGCCCATGCCCACAGCCAAGTCAGTCACCTGCACAGGCGTCTACACCCCCATGGCTTTCCGGATGGCCATCTGACCTTGACTTGCACTAACCCTCCATTTAGGTGAACGCTTGCCCTCACTACTTTCTTCTATATCCAGTCAAATTAAAGGTAGAGTGCTCTCCCCCTCCCCTGCCACAGCCTCATACACACTGAAGAGCCTGTCAAACAGCCATCTATGCACTATTCCTCAACATGACCCTGGACCTCTCCGGTAGGTTTTTGTTCTGCTGTCCCTGTCTCCTGTAATGCCTCCTTACTTATTGCTGCCTAGTCAAAGGCTTTCCAGCCTTCCACTCTTGCCCTTTCCTCTAGTAGGTCCTTCTGCATACCACCCATCCCTCCAGCCCACCTTGACATCCCCCTCCTCTTTGGGCCAGGAACATATTTCACTCATTTCTGAAGTCACATCTGCTCAATCATTTTTGCTCTCAACTCTCTGCCTATTTTCCCGAAGGAATTTTCATCCCCTGGGAGATAGAGAACATGGTGGTATCTTATTCTTAATCCCTCACAGTATTTAGCTTGAAGCTTTGCACATAGCAGGTGCTCAAGCAATACCTCCTGGAAGAGTAAAAAAAAAAAAAGAGGGAGATAGGGACAGAGGAAGGGGGAAAGAAATGAGAACCTGAATGAGTACATGAGTTGAATGCTGAGTGAGACAATGAATGAGGGAATGAAGTGAGTCTCTGGAAAAACTACAGGATTGCTGTGATGGGGATGCTAAAGAAGAGAAAGGAAGAAAAGACAGGAGGGCCCTATTGGGCCTTAATCAAAACAAGAGCTACTGATCATGGCACACTAGCCCAGCCATGTACTAGACTCTATACCGGACTCCCTGTGTTCTTCCTTGCTAATCTTCTTGACAATCCAGAGAGGTAGACATATTCTCACTGCACTCAGGAAGAAAATTAATTTCAAGTAGAAGAAAATCCTTGTTCAAGGTTACATACATGGTAAGCAGCAGGACTGGAATGAAAACTCAGATTTATCTAAAGACTCAGAAAGGAAGAGTTGCAGCATACGCTGACTTCAGGGTCTCCCAGCCTTGCTCCTAACATAGACACATCATGGGTGGTGTGGGTCTACAAAGGACAGCTGCAGTCTACAAAGGACAGCTTCCACCCCACACTGACAGTCTCTAGGAATTATTAGAACCAACTTCTGGCAGGTGCAGGAGATAGGGACATTGCATCTGGGGTAAATTACTTCCCTTCAGATTCAGAGAGCCATAAGTTGTAGAATCAGAACCTTGAAAGTACAGAATCTAAGGACTCTGAACAGCACAGAATATTAAAATCACACCACCAGAATTTTAAAAAAAATTATGTAGTCACGAAATCGTAAAACCATAGAATTGGAGAACCCAAAAATCAGCATTGTTGAAACTACAGAATTCCATGAAATGTGTTACTGAGTTATCCTATCTTAAAGTCATATAATCATAGCTTCTTTTTTCATTGTGACATCTCAGATTGACAGTATATTAAAGCTGGGGGAGCCCTTGGAGGTCCTCTGGTCTAACCTCACCCCTCCTTGAACACATTAGGAAGACAGGTATCAGAGGTCAAATGACTCGCTAAGTTGATCAGCTTGTACTGCCTCAGGCTGAAGAAGGCAAAAAATAGGCTTGCAAATGGTGAGCATACACACCATTCATTCATTCATTGAGGGCCTTTTGAGTGTTGACAACAGCATGAATCAAACTCTACTCTTTCTCCTAGCCCCTTTCCCAGCGCGAAATAGAAAAGAAGGGTGGGGGTGGGGAGAGGAAAACAGGAGTGGGATGGAACATACATCAGACAGAGAGAAGAGATCAGCTTTTATTGATGGACATTCCTTTGTACACAGCAACACACTCTGAAAGGCCTTTCCTTGTAGTCATATGTACAGAGCGCTATGGGAATGGCAGGGGGCACGGGGCTAGGCCTTCAAGCAGTAGAAGAGATCATAGCAATGGCCACAGTGAGGGTTTGAGCAACAGGTCAATGGGCTGAGCAAGCTGGGTCCCACCCCCATCTGGTCCTCTGAGCCCAAGCACCCTGCATCTCTGTGCTCACACAGGACAGAGGTAGGTCCTTGGGATGTCATCTGGAGACCTCTCCAGGAGTGGCAGGCTCCAGGGTGCCTGGGAAGTGAGTGCGGGTATAGGAGGCTCCAGGCTCTAAGCGCCAAGCTCCAAGTTCTGCTGCTCCCACATTTTAGTCAGACCTAGGACTCCAGCTCTTTATAATTCAGGGGCTGGAGTCCAGGGGAGATAGCAGTGAGGGTGGGACTTCCAAGAAGGAGGTGGGAGAGGAAGGGGCAGGATGCTTGCCCATCTGGTTCCTGAAGCAGGGAAGGGGGTCTCATGGGGGCTCACAGGGTAGGGGAGGGGCTGGTTAAGGCTTTTGCTTCTGCATAGAAAATGACCCTCGTCCTCTCAGTTATCGAGAGGAGGGACTACTGCACTCGGAGGCCGGACAGCAGAACTGATGAGCGTCTTCCTCTTCCTCTTCCTCAGTCTCCTCCTCCTCCTCCTGCTCCTCCTCCTCCTCTTCCCTGGGACCAGTGAGGGCAGGGTAGAGGCCACAGGCAGGCAGGTGATAGAGAGAGGCAGAGGCATTAGTTTGCAGAGCAGGGGAGATACAAGAAGGGCTGGAACCAAGGAGGTGGGGCTAGCACTGGCTGGCCAGTGTGACAATTAGCCAGGGCCATACCCAACTTAGTCTTCTTGCTGGTCCCCTCCTGGGAAATCCCTCCCCCCACACCCAGGCTGGGCTGGGTCTTAAGGTCATGCCCAGAGACTATAAACTCCACTTCTGACCTGCCAGGTGCCCAGCCTCATTTGAAAATGCTGTATTTCTGATGCCCATCACAGTGCCCTCATCGCTCCATGCTGGCACTTGGCATACATTATTACATTTAACCCCACCCATCCTAGCAACAATCTGCAGCATTTTAAAGATGAGGTAGAAGCTCAGAGAGGTTAAATAACCTGCCCAAATTCACACAGCTGGGTGACAGAGGCAGGATTTAAACCCAGAGTTCCTGGAGCTCTATGTTTCAGACTGGTCCTACCAGATCTTGTAGGTAACCTTGGCATTATCTCTCAAAATCCACCCTGCCCTTGAAGGAAAAGATTTGTATTTCCTGAATGCTCAGAGTCAGGAAAATAGATGTTTAAAAATGGAATGTGGAAAACCCACCACTTTGGTAGCAAACAGACTTGGGTTCTAACACCAGCTCTACAGATGCTTCTATGCCATGTGCCCTGGGGCATGTTATTGCCCTCTTGGGAACCTCAGTTTTCTCATCTGTAAAAATGGGGCTCATGATGCCAGCTCCGCAGGATTGTTGCAAGGACTGGAACATATGTCAAGTGCCTGGCAAACAAGAGCAATGGGAACGTGGTGGTAGTTTTTGTTAACTGAATCCAGTGCCCAAGGTGGCCATTTGTACTGATACAGAAATGCCACAGTGGCAGGGAGGAGTCACTGCAGAGACAAGTGTCTGGCCCTAGGGTACTTTAGAGGAAGCAATACCAGGGGCTAGTCGGCATGTGGCAGTCACTGGAGCTGGGCTAGCTTCAGGGGATGGACGAACAGACAGTAGGACTTGGGGTGGAGGGACCAGGTTGCCTAGGGAATGAAAAGGCTGATCTGTGGATAGCAAACAAAACAGTATCACCCAACTCCCAGACCCCTTGGCTCAGAAGAGGCAGTAAGTACGGACTCCAGGAAACTGGAAGATTACAAAGAGATAGGAAGGAAAGAGGACAGGCAAGGGAAGGTGCTGTTGTCCGTCTGACACACAGACAAGCATGCACACACGCACACACATGCGCACCCCCTTACACACACATCCTCATACTCAGAGCTCCTTCTGACACATTGTTCCACAGAGTCACTGAGTCAGGCAAATCACATGAACCAGGGGGCTCAAGTCCTAGGCAAGTAGCTCCCTCTTTCTCAGTCTCATTCCTCATCTATAAAAGGAGGAAAAAAATGCATACCTCTCAAGGCTGTCATGAGGAACAAGTGATTTTCCAGCTCCACTCCTCACTCCCCGTTTGTATCCAGGCCAGGTCCCTGCTATACCTCAACCTGACACTGTAGTCACCTCCTGATTTCTTCTCCCTACCCTCTTGGACCACATTAGCCTTTCTAAAGCCCACCTTCAAGCATGAATCTCTCTGCTTAGACACCCACCTTGGCTCCCCATTGCTTCCTGGATAAAGTTCAGACTCCTCAACTTGGCATTCAAGGCTCCCCCACCATATGGCCTCACCTGGCCTTTCCTGTCAGGTGGAAAAAGCATGGGCTTTAGAGTCACACAGTTTTGGGTTTGAATACCAGCCCCACCACCCACTAGCTGGGTGACCTTGGGTCCATTTCTTCATCTTTCTAGGAATTCTTTTCCTTATCTGTAAAATGAGGAAATAGCTATTCTGCACAGTGTGGTGGGATTAAATGAATTCAAGTATGTAAAGCACCTGCCATGAGATAGGTTTGATGCTTCCTAAATGGCAACTACTATTATTACTGTCATTAGCAGGGGCATTGGTGCTCAGCGCCTGCTCCTGCAGCCTTCAGCAAACTAGTTTGTTCGTTATACCATCAGCATGGCCAGCCTTTTCACACTTCTATGCCTCTGCTCATTCTATTTCTTCCTTCTGTATGATCTTTGTCTGCTGAAATCTCATCTGAACCTCATGGCCCAGCTCAAATGCTTCTTCCTGCAGGAAGTCCTCCCTGAGTCCCAAACAGAAGTATTTGTTTCCACCTAGCTTCAGCATCCATGCCCTTGGTCAGAGATCTCTATTTGTTGCTTTGAACTTTCCTGAAGCTTTTCTTTCATAGATCTCCTTAATGCCCTTGTATATCCTCCTACCCCTCCTTCCTTCTCTGTGAGGGAGAGAGAGGGCCAGTCCCTCCACCTGAGCTCCGGAGCACACCCCTGCTACCACCTCCACACAATCACTCCACCCTCCTGTATTTCACCCTCTCCTTCTCCGTTGCCTCCTTCCTACCAACATTTATAGAAGCTCAAGTCACTCCCATCTGGGAATAAAAACCCTCTATCTGCCCCCACATCTCCCTCTAGCAATCACTGTCCTCTTCTTTTTACAGTTAAGCTTCTTAAGAAATTCGTCTACACTGGCCATCTCCACTTCAGTACCTCCCACGAGCTCTTCAACCCACTGCAATCTGCCTCATGCGCCCACCACGCCATGAAGCTGTTCTTAGGATGCTCGCCCAGGACCTCCTAGTGGTTAAAGCCAATAGACTCCCTTCCACTCGCCTCTTACATCCCCCAGCTGTAACATTTGCCACTCTTAACAAGCCCCTCCTGTGCACGGACAGCTCCTTCCTGCCTTGAGCCCACTCCCTGCTGCTGTTCCTCCTACTTCTCTGACCACCTCCATCTCTGTTCCTCTCCCGGTTCCTTGTCTGTTTGTACCTCTTCCCCAGTTCCGCTCTGTTCTTCTTCCTTTTCATTCCACACTCTGTCAGTGATCTCATTCCATAATTTCAGGTATGGCTGAGGCCCCCTGTCCCTGCCTCCGTCTCTCTAGCATGGGGTCTAGTTGCTGGGTCTCAGATTCATCAAGCCTAATGCTTTCTGGGCAGTCCCACCAGAATGGCCTAACTTAGAGTCTTCAGAGCTCACAGGGACCTTAACTATCACTGCATTTCCCGCCTTAGTGTGAGACACCCCCATCCACCCCAGTAGCCCAAGCTCAAAACACAAATCTAGGCAGTCACACTAGATTCTTCCTGCTCCCTTAACTAAGTCACCAAATCCTATTGATTCTACTTCCTAAATAGCTGTAAAAGGCTAGCCAGAATCTGGCCCTGTTACCTTATCTTCTACTCCTCTTGCCCCTTGTTCATACTTTCTCCAATCATACTATTCTCCCAGCTGTGCCTCAAACTTAGCAAGGGCACTCTTGGCTTAGGGCCTTTGCACTTAGGGCCTGTTGCGCCTTCTATCCCCAAATAGGTGTGGCACAAGACACATTTCTGTATATTTAGTCATTTATTATATGTCTCACCCACTGTAAGATCCATCAGGAAAGGCATCTTCTTGGTTAAGTGCTACAAGCCTAATGCCCATCACAGAGCCTGTTGCCTCATAAATATTTGGTGAATGAGAGACTCCATGGCCAGGCCTGAATACTGCAACTTACTCTAAGAACTCTCCCCTTGGCTATCTGCTGTGCACACCCTCCCTCCCCCACGATCTATTCAGTCTCTAAGTCTAGTCCTCTCTTCCTCCAAAACACCTCTCAAACCCATCTCTTCTGTTTTAGCCCCAATGCCACTACCTTACCTTATCTCTCTCTTGGATGACTGCAACAGCCTTCTCCCTAGTCTCCCTTCCTGCTAAAATGCTACTTTTGATCATGTCATTTTCTCTATTCAAGAACTGCTCCTGGTTCTCTAATTGCCTACCACAAAAAAGGGAGCCTAAATTACCTGGACAGATTTTTGAGGTGTGTCTAAACTCTGTGCCACCCCAGTATTGAGTTGTACCCTTTCTCACTCCAGGCCCTGTGCACACTCTCAGAGAATCCTCCCCATCTCTAGTCTCAAAATCTTGATGGACTTGGAATGAATGATGTAAACACTACTTTCTTCAGGCAACTACCCGACTCACAAGCTCCAAAATCCAGAGGAGTGTCTCCAGTGTCCCTTGGAATCTCCAAGAACCAGGGGTAGGATGGAAGTCAGCAATTATATCAGAAACAAGGGCTTTGGCTGCTAGCTGAGCATTAACAGAGGTTCCCCTTTCCTCTGCTTTCCTTGGTTTCCTAGACTCATGTCATCCTTACCTCTACTCTTTCCCTCACCTTCTATTGGTCTATCTCATTAACTCTCAAAGGATTCCGACTCCATCATTTGAAATGATGATTTTATATAATCGGTGTTCACTGGAGTAGTGCAACATGCTAGCCCTGCTCAGCTCCATCTCATCCATGCCAACACCCCAGCTGTGGCCTTCTAGCTTACCTCCACACACACAATCCATTTTTCATACTGGCTGCTGATATGAAGTTTCTAAAACACAGATTTTACCAAATTTCTCTCCTATTTAGAATCCATTCACCAGCAACGTTGGCTCTTATCTTTTCTCTTTTTTTTTGGGGGGGGGGTGCATTTCTTAATGCATTTAATGAAAGCCATAGAGTATTTCTCCAACAAAGAAAAATACACATAGGTAGACACAGACAACATTTTACATTCAATTTCAAGAGGTTTATGGGCTCCCTGAAGCCCATCTGAGATCCACACACTCCAGGTTAAGAACCTCTGACTCTACTCATATGCTGATCCTTCTGCCTGAATCCTCGTCCACATTTCACCTTTCTGTCCCTGGCTAACTCTTACTCATCCTCTAAGACTCAGTTCTTAGGCTGGGTTGATTTGCACCAGCCCTAGATGAGGCCAGATCTTTTCCTCTGGGCTGCCACTGCCCCTTTGCTAGCCTGTCATACCTGTTCTGAGTCTCTTCAACTGACTGGAGACTTGTGGAAGGCAAGAACCATTACCCAGCAT